ATGTTGCTGGCTTAATTAGCTGATCACAAGTGTACAATGTTTTATATTAAATAGAAATACAAATAAAAGGCCAGCGTGAGTTTGGCCAAAACAACATTTTTTGAATGTTATGTTTCTTTTAATTTTAGTTTTGATTGTTGATGCTACCGACAGGGTAGGGAAATGTTATAATTAAGACATTTATTTTGAAAGTGGTATAAGTCACTTCACACTTCTTATTCTTAAATTGCCGGTTACTTGTATCTGAACGCTCATTAACCAAAGGTAGAGGGTTTTGTTGTTAGTATATGACGATAGAGCGATTTACATATGCATTCGGTTACAAGTATCCAGCCATTTACGCACAAGAGGTACGAAGTGACTTATTTATGCCACTTTGAAAATAAACGTCTGAATTATTGATGATAATAAAAGTATAATTTTAAATGAAATTTGAAATTTCCTAATGATAAGCCGTGGTTCAAATTGCCACTGGAATTTCATTTAGCTATTAAAATTTCAATTAACTCGCATACAGTCTAAATGCTAAATACAACTAAAGAATACAATTTGATAAAAGCTACATATAAAACAAACTCGACAGTAATTCTTTTTTTGTATGCATAAAGAAATTGCTATAGATAAAAACTTGAGTTGGCGTAGAAAGATTCGCAAGTACATGTTTAATTTCTACAGCCACTCTCTTCCAATCATCTTTCCATCGCTGTTACTTGATCCTTCAAATAATCCATATGATTCACGCTATCGAGCATGATATCGTGTTGATAGTCAACATGTTGTAGTATTAGTTGCATTTTATGCAAATTTTGACTGCTGTAGTCTGATACAATGTCAACCTGTGTGAAATTTTTGATAGTTTGGCCTAAAATCTAAAATATAAAGATATAAGTTGTACTTGAAAACGAATACTTATATATTAACCCGGTCAAGTTAGACAATCGAAGTTGCAAGAATTCGAATAAAGCTGCAAATTTGTACGAAAGTTGCGAACACCATTATAAATGAAACTTAAAAAGTACCCAAATCTGCAAAAAATTGATTCAAGGTCAAAAGCCACATAAACTGTTCTTTTTCCATTTTCAGTCAAAAAGGTTTATAATAACGATCGGTTAGACAAAAGTGTCCATCATATAATTATCTATTAAAACTGTTATGACAATTTCTTCCGAAGAATTAGCATTTCTGAGATATAGCGATTAAAAAAGTTGTTCTCCATAATATGTACAATTTCTACTATTCGTGAGGTAGTATACTTGGCGGCTTTTTATAACATGGTTTCCCCGGTAGGCCTATTATTGTAGCCCTGTTTAACTAAGATTGAATGAATAAAAATATTACCATTGGAAGTGATGAAAGCGGTGTAAATCAAAAGTAATTGGAGAAAACTCTTCTTTACTATAGTTTACAAGAACATCACTTGGTATCTATAATATTCAGCTTAATTCGAATATGTACTCAAAATATAAGAAACGAGTATATTTTTTGAGATATAGCCAACTTTCGGTTTTTTGTGTTGTGAAATGTTTATTGCAGTTTGTTTTCAAATAGCTGGCTAGGCTCAAACTTCTTTTTACAAACGGAAGCTTATTAAATTTGCTATCATCTATGCCAGGGATGGGCAAAGGGACTCCCAGTAGCTTTTTGCACTTAGGAGCTGGCATGGCTCATTTAGGTGCTAGATGAGGGGTGACATCAAGGGCCAGCATGAAGGGGGAAGAAGAGCGTTATACAATTTATTGTACTTTTACACCCATATTACACTGAGAACTGCTTACTTCTTCCGCAGCACTTGTCGGCTGTTTGACTGCTTTAAGAGCCAAAAATCTGCGCATCCCTGATCTTCGCAAACGATATCCTCCAACCGGGTTACTGGTTTAGGAGCTTATTATTGATTATCGACAATTTTGCATAATTAAAAAAAGAAAAAATATATAAACAAAATTTACTTCGGTATATATTAGGGATGTTAACTTTTCAGCTTTTTCCGATCCCGGGATTTTCGGTATGTCGTTATCACAAT